TGTGTGTGTGTGTGTGTGTGTGTGTGTGTGTGTGTGTGCGTGCGCGCGCACCCGGGCCCACAATGTTCATTTCCGGAAAATACAGAATACACATACATCATTCTTTAAAGGACACTGAAAACTACAAAGATCTGTCATCAATAGGAATACACAACCCACAAAAATCGGCTTGTTTCATTAAACGTTTGAATAAAGAGAAACACGTCGACACAATATCAGCCATTTACAACTGGAGAAAAGCAAAAACAGCACAGAGAAGAAACTGTGGGAAAAGAAAGAGGTAAAGCCTACCTTTTTTCGCACAAAAGAAGCAAAAAACAAAAACAGAAACATTTCTTTCAGTATGATTGAACGTGAAACAGCTTTAAGTCAAAGCCACAATGCTACGAGATTAAAGCAAGAATGTGATTTATAAGACTGTCAGGAATAGTAATATTAATTAATGGCGGGCAACAGCTGAAAAAGAAATCCAGTTTAACTCGTATCGGAAAATGAATGAGAGAGAAAAAAAGGGGGACAAGGAGGATAGCTAGAGGGGCTTTTGTAGAAGGGGAATGGGGAGGAATTGCTTTGAAAAATGTAGTTGTAGTAAACGTTTTACTGCACTTGCAACACTAGTAGGTCACATAAATGCGAAGTCTATAGAGGTTTTTGGTAGAGAGTAACAAACACAAAAAAGGAGAAGGGCGATAGATGATAGATGTTTGATAGGAAAGAAGGAGAAAATCACATCAGAGCACTCGCCAACCAACTGCACAGTCGAAAGGAGAAGTCCATGAACGCAAGCGGTTCTACAGAGATACTGATGAATGACGAGTAGAGAGAAATGGAAAAACATAATTGATATTACACCAGACCAAGGAGGACTATAGCCACGCTTAGCTGACATATGGATGGCCACTAATATAAGATTTTAAAAATTGGTGAACGTTATTAGTCCTTGTTGATAGCCATTAAATATGTGGAAAGAGAACGAGACGGCAACAAAGCTGGGAGGGAGAGAGAGAGAGAGAGAGAGAGAGAGAGAGGGGGGGGAGAGGAGAGAGAGAGAGAGAGAGAGAGGGTGTTTGGGGGATGGGGGGTGTGCTTTCATCTCTCCTTGTATAGTGGGCGAGAGGGGTGAGCAGGGAGAAGGGGTGAGTAATTAATGCGAATCAGAAGAGTGAGATGCTCCGCTCTAACCCACTGTTAGAAGCACGCAAACCGACTCGTGACCTTGAAACAAGTCCCGTCGCCTCAAAATGAGAAGTTTGTTTTAAAAGAAAAAAACCAAACTATTATTGTACGACGAATTTTACATCACTCATTATCAGCCAGTATCGAGTTCAATGAACCTTGAAACAATTAGAGGGGAGAGAGAAAACGGTGGAGCAGTTGTTATGCTGCTGCTGTTTGAGTTGCAATTCGCAGACACCCAACAAGACAAAGGTCAGACTTCGCCAGAGGCAGCTTAGGGTGACAAACCGTTTTGTTTCAGCCGGAGTTTTACGGCACTTGCAACACAATAAGCCCCCAAGATGGAGGTGTTACACGCAGAACATACAAAGAGGAGAAGGGGTAGGTAAGATAAACATGATAGATGTTTGACTGGAAAGGAACAAACCACGTAAGAGCACCCGCCAACCACCCATGGGTGACTAACAGTAACACTGAAAAGAAGCAGAAAAAGCAAACCACATTGGAACATTTGCCAATCATCCTTTATGTTTATTGTGTTGTTTGTTGGAGTTGAGTACGAGAAGCACACCAACACAATAATGGTCATTTTGCGCAAGGAAAAAGACAGAAAAACATAGGAAAAGTAAAAAAGTAGAACCTACCAGCGGCAACCTCCAACCACCCGCTAACCTTTGTGTGTGTGTGTGT